ACTGGAAGCAGAGTTCTACAGTGCTTAAGGTGTTGGATTAGGACCAGGGAGAACCAGTTTGGTCCACCTTCAGCCAGAGAAGGTCACTTGGTGCCTCCTTCTTAACCCAACATATTCCACAGAGTATTGAAGAGGAGGAAAAGAAAATCTCTTTCTATCTGTCTGTCTGTCTGTCTGTCTGTCTAATCTAATCTAATCTAATCTATCTCTAGCTAGCTGTCTCCTGGAAAAAAGGCAGGATGTAAATCTAACAAGGAACAATTTGAGAAGGTTGTCCATCACTCCCAGCTTATCAGAATCTTTGCTATCTTGAAATTTTCAGCTTTTGACTTTATTCAGCTCTTGACATTTCAATTTATTTTATTGCTTCAGATGTTATTTTTCCAGTCAGCTTACTTTTTTGGCCTAAATGTGGATTGGCTTTACAAATACCAGATTAGCTTGATTGATTTATTGTGGTAATAACTCTGAAAGCAACTGCCAGTTAGGAGGCCAGGCTGGCAAGTAAGTTTAATTCAGAAACAGAGGGCAAGGAAAGTAAGCAGTGATAAGGACCTCTGGAAGTAGAACATTCTTAATTGCATGAGATGTAATCACACTAATAAAGTAGAATTCATTTTTTATAACCCTGTAGTATCTTAATTTGGGGTAGTGTCTGGGGATGAGAGACTGGATGGAGATTAATATTTTACTTGTTGGCTGTCCTTCCAAATGTCTACACAGAATTGGCAGCATATATTTTTTCTTTGGGCCCTAAAAGAGAAATATCTGCTTCCTCCCAAGACTGAACTCTCAGCTGTCTGAGGGGAAGGCTAGCATCTACACTACTAGGCCACACTCCGTTCAACATAGAATTCACTTCTATTTCATCTAAAATTAAATCATGTCAAATATGTTTATTTTAATTCTAGCTGCTTCTTCGCCTACTTTTGGACACATAGCCCCCACATTCTACTCAAGGACCCTTGGTCTGAAAACATTCTGCACCTCTCATTCTGCAACCTTCCCACTTGAAAGGTTGAGAGTTCAGCTTTAAGTAGTGGCAGATGTTTCACTTTTACATCAGCGTATGAGATTTAACAAGACTTGGAAAGTGACAAGGCCTTAACAGCAGTACAGCTGATCTCTCCTGGGAACAAATATTCTGTAGAATAGGAGGATTGCCTGTCCTATGCAAAATCTATGCTCACTATGTTGGGATGGATATATTGTGAATATACATCTTTTACCTACCTGGATTCTTATTTAATTTATATGGGATTAATATAAGCCAAACAATTTTATGACATGCAGATAAACACACCAACTTGTTCCAAATTTAAATAGAATGAAATAGGACAGACTAACATTACACATATAGCTATCCATCTCTCCATAGTGACTCCATGCAACATGCAAAGTTAAAAACAACAGTGTACGCAATCCAATCCATAATGTCCAAGATCACAGTCAAGATTGCCAGTGTACACAAAAAGAACAACAGAGCTCATTTACCCTCCTAGCCTAAATGCCAAGAAGTTTGCACTCTAAAAGTGGCTGCAAGGCCAAAGTGATTTGCTTGACTAGAGAAAATATCATATCTTCATTTACAGTATTGTAGACTGGAAACCCCTCATGGAATTTTTGCATAAAACAGGAAGAATGTATAAGTTATGGCTTATTTATTTATTTATTTATGAGACTTATATACCGCTTTAAGTGCAAGCACTCTCTAAGCGGTGTACACCAGTAAGCAATGTATATATATATTAACATTGCCCCCAACAATCTGGGTCCTCATTTTACCTACCCCAGAAGGATGGAAGGCTGAGTCAACCCTGAGCCGGTGAGATCTGAACCGTTGACCTGCTGAACACAGTCAGCTAAAGTGGCCTGCAGTACTGCACCCTAACTGCTGCGCCACCTCGGCTTTGATGATTACATATAGGATGAGTATAGAAAGAAGAGAGTCATGATGTCAGGACTAGGGGTGACATGATAGCAGTGTTCCAATGTTTGAGGGGCTGCCACAAAGAAGATGGGGTCAGCATATTTTCCAAATGGTATAGGGTTTCTTGCTTGAGTAGGGATTTGGACTAGCAGACCTCCAAGGTCCCTTTCAATTCTCTTATTCTGATTTAACTTTAGAGAAACAAATAGATTTATAATTGAACTTATAACCACTGTAAAGATTGGAAGCCACTTCTTTGTATATTTTTCTTTCTTTTATTTTTTTCTTTCTCTCTTACACATTTAGTCTTCTTTTTGATTTCTTTCTTTTTCCTGCCTTATTCTACACTAATTTGCATTAGTTTTTTTATTTTATTTTTTTAAAAAAAACTTTTTAATACCATTATTAAAAGAATAAATAAAAATGGCTTCCACTTAGTTTACTTGTAGTCTGTAAGTGTGTTCTGCTTTTGGTATTAGGCAGATTTGCAGGTGAAAGGAACACTGAGTGCAAGCAACTTTTAATAATTAAAAGCTGTTTTGCATGATTAGGGTTACTAGGGAAGAAACAGAAATGCCCAAGGTATACAGAAGAGAAGAAATATCTCATAAACCACCAACAGACTATTACAACCACATGGATCAGTGTAGCACACAAGCCAACTAAAGACCTTCAAAACATCATAAGCAGACCAAAAGACCCAACAATCCTAGAAGAAAAAAACAGGAGTCATCTACCTGTCATGCAACAACCATTATGTACAGTAAGACAAACAGGCAGAAGATTGGCAGAACGCATCCATGAACACCAAGTAGCAGGCAGAATACGTGATGAAAATTCTTTAATTTTACAACACATAGACAGATTTAATCAGAGTTTCAATTGAGAAAATGTGACCATCCTAGACCAAGCCAAGTCTAAAAACATCAAGGAATTTCTAGAAGCCTGTTTACATTAGTAAACAGTCCAACCAATGAATCTCTAAGACCAACATCACCACCACAATGACAAACAAACCACCAGAATATAAACTGACATCAAACAGCACTCCTCACTAGCACTGATGATGTCACCTCGTTTGGGTAATGAAACCTCTGCAAGAAAACAACCAAGCTCAGAGAGCACCAAGGACCCCCCACAAGAAGAAATAAGAAATTGTATAAAGAAGAAGAAAAAAGACTGATTAATATTATGTAACTAGTGCACACAATCTTTTCTCTGGAACAGAAAAAGGCATTATAAAATCCACGAAATGTCACTTTCACCCTTAGAATGTATTCTTCTGAAAAGATAACTTTGGATTATTTCAGATTCAACACTGAATTATAAAAAGGCCATCCATTCTCCTAGAGATCCATTTTTATATCCTGTTTAGTGACACGACCATTTTCAGCACTGCCCCAGCAAACCAAATTATAAATTTAAACATTTGTGTTCACTTCAAGCAAGCAGGAAGATGGGAAGCATCACAACTGTGTTAGTCAGAGTAATACACCTCTTGTCATCAGAACCCAATATTACAGACTGACAGTATTTGGAAGGGGTTATTGCATATCAAATCATTCTATCACATTACTGCTGAGACAATATTGTTCTCTCCTGGAGCGAGTAGGAAAGCAATAAGAAAAACTGTTGCATTTTATATTATTTTTATTTCCACTTAATGGTGCTGGCTCTCAGAGAGATATCTGACTCTCCCTGGAGCCTGATCCCAGTGTTTTCTTAGGAAAAGACACATTTTGTTCAAAAACAGTTAAGACTTAAAGTGACCATTGAGGCTACAATGAAAACACATTTGATTTTGATGTTTAAAACCTTTCCTTTTCTGTCTTAGAACAGCAAACAGCAGACTTCTCTTTGCCTTCAAATAATTTATTGTCTTCCTTCCTTCCTTCTTTCCTTCCTTCCTTCCTTCCTTCCTTCCTTCCTTCCTTCCTTCCTTCCTTCCTTCCTTCCCTCCCTCCCTCCCTCCCTCCCTGTCCAACTCAATATATTTTTGTGCAGTGCTTGGGAGCAAATGTTCACTGAAACAACATGACATTAACTTGAATACAGTTTGTAGGAAAAAAAGGGAACATAAATGTGATAAGAAAATTTATTTGATACCCAAAAGACACAGACTGGAAATGCCCAGATCTCCATTCCCTAGCAAAGTAACAGGTATTCTCAGACAGAGTTCCTGGATCAGAATCATTTTTCAACTATAAGGATAAGTATACCAGGCAGCACTCAAATCATAAAGCAATTATAAAGGATTGGATTTTTTTTAGGTTTAATACTATTTTTTTAAAAAAAACACTAATATAATATGCACTTGAAGACAAAAGCTCTGGAACCAGCAACTGGGACATCATACTGAGATTGATTTAGTGGTTAAGGCACAAGCCTAGAAATTGGGAGTTCTCCAACACTGGAAGTTTTTAAGAAGAGACTAGACAGCCATTTGTCTGAAATGGTATAGGGTTTCCTGCCTGAACAGGGGGTTGGACTAGATGACCTCCAAGGTCCCTTCCAACTATTATTATTATTATTATTATTATTATTATTATTAATTATCCTACTTTAAAGATTAAAGCCAGGGGGGATTTATTTACAAAAAGAATAAAGGTGGGATATAAACAAATAAATAAAAATAGGAATTGGGATTAATTATGGTGTGTTATCACTTTGCCTTGTTGACATAGTGACTGCAATAATATATCTCTGTATTCATATTAAGACAGAAGTCAGGATTGCCTTGGTTGTCATGTATAAAATATGATTTTAGATTAAGCTCCCTCTATGCACACAACTCCATGTACACAGTAGAGACAAATACATGCCTTCTGGTTGAGTATATTAGTCAGCACTACTGTCCTAATATGCATGCACTCTCTCACACACAAATCCATGTCTATGTGTAGCCATGAAATGATGGAAGTGTCCTTTTACCACTTCATTCATCATTTTGAGTATAAGTCAAAATGTAGCAGTAGTGATGACATTTAAAGAGTGTGTCCATCTTTAAATCAAATACTAGATTAAGCTATGATGATGATTGATAATGATGATGTTGATTAAATAGGTTTACCTTAAATAGCAGCGGTTCTTCGGTAAGCGGGCTAACAGGAAGTGAGTTGGTACTGGTGGCAGGACTCATATCTGTGCTCTAAGATAAATCAAAGAAAATCTAGATTTAGCCTAGGACATATTATTTTTTTAAAATATATTTTATTAGATTTTATATGGGTAGGGAAAAGGTAGGGTCGGTACGGGTACAGGAAAATCAGGATAAAAGGGACTGGGTGTGGATAACTACAGTAAATACGTAATTCAGCGAACAAGCTGTTGTCCGGGTCTTCATATTAAGTATTATTGTTTATATAATACTAGACATTTATAAGAATAAATCGGTATAGTTACAACTGACATTTGGTAAAACACTAATATTCCTTTAAATAATTAACATCGTTGATTGCATAACAACTATTTCCAATCATCAACCTTAATACTTAATATAGTAAAACTCTAAAATCTCTTCTTATTCTAACGTGTTTCAACCCACTGATAAAATTTTCCCCAGGTTTTATAAAAGATTGAATCTTCTTTCTCCTTCATCTCTAACATTAATCTGTCCATTTCTGCACAATCTAGGATTTTCAAAATTATAATCTAGTCTGATGGTAGGTTTTCATTTTTCCAAAATTGGGCAAATACTATTCTTGCAGCTGTTAATACATGTAATATTAAATAATAATTTTCTTTGCCATAGTTAGGTCTTAATATACCTAACAGGAACAGTTCCGGTTTAAATTCTATCTGCTTGATAATAAAGTCTCCAATCCGGAAGTCCAAAACCCCCTCTATCTTTCGAGTCTTGTAGAAGTTTACATTTAATTCTTGTTTTCTTTCTTTGCCATATAAATCTTAATATCATTCCATTTAAATCGTCAAAAGATTTCTTACCCAGCTTTACAGGAATTATTTGAAATACAAAAAAATTAGCTTTGGTAAAATGTTCATTTTAACAGTCGCTATTCTTCTTAACAATGATAGTTGGAGATTTCCCCATTTTTCCAGGTTTATTTTTATTGTTTTATTAGTCTCTCATAATTATCTTCTTTTAGTAATGTATATTTTGCCGTAAGATAGATAACTAAATATTTAACTTTTTTAACTATTTGAAGATTTGCCTAGGACATATTATTATTATTATTATTATTATTTTATTGAAAATTTTTAAAAGTTTTTACAAAAAACAAAAAAGACAACAACAACAAAAAACAAAACAATCCTCACCCAACCCCTCCCAAACCACCCCCTCCATCCCCCCCGAGCTTCCCAGAGCTGAATATAGGCTTAATTAAAATTTTAAAAATCCTAAAAGAAAGTTAAACAACTTATAAAATAATTAACAATAAGATATATATAACAAAAAAAAAACACATAGGCATTAAAAAGAAAAAGTGCTTAAAAAAGAAGAAAAAAGAAAGAAGAAAAGAGATAAAAAAAGAAAAAAAAGAAAAAATACAATCTATAAAATATCAAAGTTTATATACAGGTTATAAAAAGGCTAAATGGTATTTTTTTATATCCAATTTGTATTGTGTGAAATTTATCCATTTTTCCCATACGGCAAAAAATTTCTCTTGCGATTGCTCCTTTAAGAAAGCCGAAATCCTTGCCATTTCCGCCAGATAGGAAACTTTAAAAAGCCACTCTTGCAAGGTAGGCAAAGATTCCTTCTTCCAATATTGCCCTACTAACAGCCTTGCGGCTGTAATCAAGTTCAACATCAATATAACCTCCTTAGCATCACAATCAGTAACAATACCTAACAGAAACAATTGTGGAGTAAATTTTACCCTCTTTCTAAAAATTCTTTGAATATTCCACCATATCTTAATCCAAAAAGCTTTTATATTTTTACACGGCCACCAAATATGATAATAAGTGGCGTCCAGGCAACCACATCTCCAACATTTAGGCTGTAAGTCAGGATACATAAGAGACATTTTTTGTGGATCAAGGTGCCATCTATAAAACATTTTATAAAAATTCTCCCTTAAGTTCTGGGCTTGTGTAAATTTGACATTCCTCACCCAGATAGTTTCCCAGGTATCCAGTAGAACTGGTTCACCAAAATTTTGTGCCCATTTAATCATAATTATTGTTATACAGTCAGTCAGTCACCCACTTATTTTCTAAGGCTACCCATTCATCAAGAACCCATTCACCAAGGGTTAAAAACTTTGCAGTATCAAAATAAGATAATAAAGCATACATGGGAAAAAGTACAGACCTTGTGTCATTACAAAAGGCTCATATACTATCCTCTCCTGGTGCCCGGGAAAAGAACTAGGTCTTTAAAGCATTCTTAGTTTGTTAGGCTTGAGCCACTGGAATCTTGAGGATACAGTTCCATAGGGCAGAGGTTGCAACAGAAGGCATACTTCCTGCATCCCATGAAACTTTAAGCCCTGTTTAATTTGCCCATCCAGAACATGATACTGTCAGAGTTTGAAAAATGGGCAGAGATCATTGGAAGTTATTTCCTGTGTTGCAAAGCATCCCAACTATATATGGAACATGGTCCCACAAAAAGACCCTGTGTCTTGTACAGCTTTATAGATGATAACAAGCACCTTACACTGCATCTGGAAGGCTTCTGGTAATTATGGCAGTTCACCCATAGTAATGCTATATAACTTAACATCGTCTACATGTATTGTTACATTCTTGACCATTTCAGCTTCTGAATATTTTTCAAGGGCAGCCCCATGTAGAGAGTCTTGGCAGTAATGCAAATGAGAGATGTCCAAGCTATGGGTTAATGAGTAAGTCTCCCAATCCAGAAACAGATGCAATGGCACACAAAATGAATTTGTACAAAGGTCCTCCTAGAGATTGTTGTCACCAACTCTTCAAGAAGGAGCTGAGAGTTGAGGTGGATCCCCACTCTCCACACCATCTCCATCTATAGAAGGATAATCTATTCAGAACTAGTTGTGGGAATCCTTTGTTCTCCCTGGGTAAACTAGACAGGAAACACAGCTAGCTGAACTAAATCTACTTTATTGTAAGGCTCATTAACAGAATCTGAAAGTACAAACCTCATGCCTCCCCCTTTTAATTGCTTGTTCCACAAGGACACATCTTTCCCAAGTTTCTTTCTCTGATCATTAAGCATCTGTGGGATCCTGCTCCTTTTGTTTGCTGGTTTCCTAGGCAGCATCTTTTCTCTCCTTTTCTCAAAGTCACCTATGCATTCCATTACAAAATCCATTGAACTTGGTAGACCTCACATTCACACCCAATCAGTTTTGCTGTGCTTTATTTAATGATGGGGCATTTTATACCACAAGAAATAACACCCTATTTATAGCAACAGCAAGTGTGCTATCTACCCAGTATTTTTTTTTGCCAATTTTTCCACGATGCTTTTTAACAGACACCTTCAGGACTACTTCCACTAAATAATGAATAAGATCTTCAAAACAATATCCTGAGCAACACAGGTATGTAAGCATCCTTAACAGTCCCAGTGGGAACAATTATTAACAAAAAGGTAGTAAACTATGTAATGCAAAAATGCTGTGGTCAAAAAGATCAGCTCCTTATTGGACAGCAACAGAAGAGCCCAAGAGGAAAGTAGAAGTGTTGAGTTTCTCATTTACCAGAAAACAATTCCAAATAAGAATAAAACTGAATAACCATTTAACATTGAAGTGTTAAAAATGCAAGAAAGCAGGGCCTCTCAACTTAGCACTTTCTTAAGAGCATGGAGAAAACTTCATGGGATGTTCATGCACAACTCTTGGTCTGCTTAGCAAAATATAAACTACAGATGACAGATATAGGCTCAGATATAGTTCATGTGGGGCTGTCCATGCATGAGTAATAAAACCCAAATGCCTTTGGTTTATAAACACTGGATTATGGTTTAGCATGATGTATAAAATTCATAAAATTTCTTCACTTCACATCAGTGGAACCATGAAACAGGTGATTTGCTATTATTTCATTTTACTCCTTAAAATAATGTTCACTGGTGAACTGGTAAAATACTTTCATCCACTGCCAAACTGGTGGAATGAAATACTTGGGTATATTGACAAAACCTCTGTCAAATGAAAGCAAGAACAATCAATTTGTCTACAGTCTTTTATAAAAACTGGCAAATTTCCACCCAAAACAAAGTGATTTATAAAAAAATATTTCTAAATAGAAACCATGTGTCCTCAAAGATCTGTCCACAAAAAAGTACAAGAGTGGTGCCAGCTATCTTGTCACAGGTACAAAAAGGAGAGTAGCAGGGGAATCCAGCAATCAAGGCTAATCATCACTGCTATTTCGACAGGTCCCCATTTATCATCATTGCCAAAAGTGAAGAATGGTGTAGCAGATGACAAACAATGTAAGCCTACTGTTAATATGAGCTCTTGGTCAAGCTCCAAATAGATTTATCAAAACACAGTACAAAAAAGAGTCAGTTATTACATGATTCCAGTAGGTAATTTTTTTCGATCCAGCCAACTGTGAATATATTGAAATTGTCAGATATAAGATGTGGCTGAGAGATTACCTTTTGTACATATACTATCTAGGCTGTCTGAATCATCAACATTCAAAGGACTTTTTAAATTCTCCAACATCTCCAGAGATGTCAGCTACAGTATTCTTTGTGAAATTTGACAGCCTCTGTCATCACTCATAGAAGGTAGTTGTTCAAGCTGCTTACTGTTGTATTGAAATAAGACCTATCAATGACTCTAAAAAGCTTTGATTAAAAATATGTACAATATCCCAGTTCTCGCAATGCCCAATTTTCTGTACAACCACTGCTTTTCAACCAGAGAAGTTCTGCAATAGTGAATACTGACTTTCCTCAAGATCACTATCCAAATTTATTGATCCAAGAATTTAATGCTGATGGAAAGTATTTTTGGTGGATATTAGAAGCAAGAGAACAAATAAATCTTGATAATTAAAGAAAGGAGAAGACAATCTGTATATTTTATGGTTATTTAAAAGCAGAGGAGTGAATCACCAACTTATTTTCAGGGTGATTGCTTCCACTGTTTCTTTGCCACTATGTTGAACTGAGGTTTACATTCTAGAAGTTGAATTACACTTAATAAATGTGATACGGCTTAATAAGCAAGCCAG